TATTAGCATCGAAGCTGAGGATTTTGTTTGTTTGAATGCGATATAATCTCAGGAACCACTGTATTTAATAAAATATATATTGATAAATTCCTTGAAACTCAATAGAGTGTAGTAGGATTAAATTAATTTAATTGAAGTCACATAAATTGATAGGTATATAGTGTGTATATAATATGGTTCGTGGAGATCGAATCATTTTTTGTTTATGCTATAATATAAGGTTGCCATAATGCCATTGGTCCCGGGGAAAAAAAATGGTAGACTAGCAAAGTTGGTTTTGAAATTAAAAATAAATAATATTTAAATTGTTATTTTATAAATTGTATTGAGTACCAAGTTCTAAACTATAGGCATGTTTGAAAATTAAGCAAGTGCTATATCAATAATCCAATCTACTATCTACCACGAGCCAATCTTGCCGATCTATCCTACGAATTAATTAATTAAGCAAAGTAGGTCATCATCAATATCAATTCCGATTTGCCCGTGAATTGAAACACACAAGCGCCTGAAATATACAACCACCGATTTAGCGCCGTATTTTATGTTTATCAATATTTTCCCGCGCGATCTAAGTCGGTATGCAATTATAGTAATTAAAGTATTTATTAAATATATTTATTAATCATAGTAATTAGCATTAATTTTTAAGACAGATAATCATTATAGCAATGCAAAAATAATATACATGTATATATTTATATATATTACATAAACATCAGTTACAGTTTAATTGGCTGTTATTAAGACTTATATAAAATAAAGAATATTATCTGTATATGTCTTTATGTGGATTTTTTACGGTTATTCACTGTAGAACTATAAAAGTTAGTTATAAACAATTTTAATTTAAGGCGCAATGTTTGTTTAACCGTCATGAGAAACCTACATGGCTACATACAAATACAGATAATCTTATTATCATTATTAAGTTTCGCACATTCGATAATGATGTTTTATTCTTCATTCAGAAACTGACCAAKTGTTAAACAATACAAATAAAAGAGAAGTGTTGCTCTTTAATGTAGGAGTGCATTGAGGTTATCAATTAAAAAATAGCAGACTTGGCCACAATGTAGATTTCACTACTTTGATAGGCCGACTTTTTTGGGAGGGAGTTTGGAACTTGGCCTTTTTTCACTGTTATGTTTTTGTTGGGTATATCATTTATTTTTGCGGGCTTCACCGTCGTAAGAGTATACATTATGCAATTTGTCATCAATGTTTTTTGTGACGTTATCACGTAAAATTATCGTTCGCAAACCGACGAATATTATTATTAAAATATTCTGTATTTGTATGAGTAGGTATATTATATTTTGTATTTGAATAAAATAAATGTACGAAAACATGATTATGTTTTATAAATAAATATATATATATATATATATATAAGTCAACTACAAACAATTTCTTATTACCATATTGTAACGCTGTTTGAAAGTAAACGTTTATGCGTGCTAAGCGCGCCACTTCATACGTTTAGAAATGCACACTCTGGAGAAGCATTCATTTTGAAAAATTCAATTTTTAGATTTTTCCCTTTAGTTACACTGTAAAATCTACCTTTGTGCCAAACTTCACGTTTCTACCTATACGGGAAGTGTCTTATAATTTTGATGATCAGTCAGTGAGTTAGTGAGTGAGTGAGTTAGTAACAATATTGCAAATTTTGAAATCCTGCCATTTTGAAATGACACAATATTAAAGGYTCRTTTTCTTATAGACTCCTAAGCTACTAGAGGTTAATCTGTGTTTTAAATTTCAAAAGTTTATCTTAAGAGGAAACAGAGATATATGGGTTAGAAAAAAGGGCGAATTGGTTCATGTAAAGATACACTGGCATTGCTCTAACTTGGCCTGGCGCACTACCGTGCGCTCAGATATATAACCATATTAATAGTTATAATTATAATTATTTCTATTGTACCATTAATATTTATAAATGTTTGTAAATAATTGTTTATTGTTTATCGTTAAAATATAAAAAAATATATATATAGAAGTTTCAAATTTCAATAGATTTATTATAGATTTTGCTTATATATTATTTTTCCTTCATTTATCATTATACAATTCAGCATGGGAATTTAAAATCCTGGAATTCTTTGTCTTTGTCTTCGAGTTGTTCTATCCAAGCCTATCCAATTTATTTTATCTTTGAAATAATCGCCAGATGATACCTGTAACTACCCATTCTCTGGCATTCCATTATCTATAAATAAACTTACTCTAAATATATTAAATAGTAATTACACTATTAATATACCCATGTAAATATTTACATTGAAATCCGAGTAACTGAACCCGATATTCATATAATGCATAATTTCTAAACTTAATACTGAGATAATAGTTATGCATGGATAATATAGTTATTTACATCATAGTTCATAATACATGTTTCAAAATCAGATATCCATCTGATATGTATAAATACTAAATAAGTGGTTGAAATAATTAAACAACATGAAGAAAAAAATATATAAATATATATTAAAATATAGTAGAAATAAGATATAAATTAAGTATTATACACAGTTTTCACAAAAATAAGAATTTAACTAGTCGTAGTATTTTCTTTGTTAACATGATCATCTTGTATCAGTTTACCATATTTTTCGTGTACATTATTGAATGGTATTTTTGACTCGATTATTTTAGATTTAGATTTTTTTTTAAACTTTAATAGGTTTTTAAATTTACCATAGCTTTGGCTGATAACACTACTATTTCCTGATGTATCTTCCATTTGAGTGGAAGACGGCATACTGTACTTTTTAGTTTTTTTTAATTTTTTCCTTATTTTTCTTGGTATTATCTTTATGTCTGAAATATGTAATACATATTTGAATGGTTACTAAATATTATACAAATTGTTGTTGTTAATGGGATGATAGGGTCCAAATAACTTGGATTTGCCGTTTAAGTAAAAAATTATTAGTGAACTTAAACTACTTATAGTCCTTTAAGCCTCGTTATACACTCGCTCCAAAAATGATAATTATATACAAGGTGTAACAGAAAGACCTGACAAAAAAATATGCTAATTAAACGTATGAAAAAAAGTTTTGATATTATATAATAAGTAAATAATTAAAGAAATATACTTATGTCAGCGAATTCTCAAAAATCATATTTTTTAAAAAGTTATTAAGTTCTTAATTAGTTTAACAAAAAAATATTGAATTTTAGAAAAATTTTAAAAATAAACTACTCGGACTTAGATAAATCTTTTCACCATAAAAATTGTTCTTATAATCAGATTCAGAAGTAGGCTATTTTGAATTTATCTAAAAAATATTTAAATTAAATTAAATTTGTTTATTTTCATTAATAAAAAATAAATAATTTTACATGTAGCTATAGCTAGGGTCTCTTAATGAAAAAGAATATATATAATATATATATTAATTTGAATAAAAGTTATTTAAAAAATCAGTTCTATCTGTTACACCTTGTATACTTATACATACATCAGAGGAAAATGTATTATGGCATAAGTCTATATATATTTTATGGGCTCTTTGTTTTTACGTTTTACCATATGATCTAATAATATCAGTACTTATAACTGGCTAGTATAGTTACCATTGCAGTGACGTCATTTCAGTTTTTTTTATTGTAGTTGGTGCCAATATTTGTGGTGCCATAATTAAAATCATTACTATGCCACAATTATAGGCACTTTTTGTGGCTTTGTTGAGAGGAGAGTAATAATGTGTGGTGAAATACCTCTCGACAGGGCTGTGTTAAGGGGAGCGCAAAGCGGGCATTTACCCTTGGACGCTTGTCAAATTAAGGGGAGCCTCGAGCTTGATAAACCACTTTTGGTGACTTCTCAAATTATATTAGTGCCCCTGGGCGCCATAAAGCTTAACACGGCCCTGCCTCTTGGTAGAATTTCAAAAACTATAGAGTTAATTTTTATTCATTTAATCTGATGTCCCATTTCTCATACATCGATATGAAAACATAATCATTATTATGTTACTTTAAAAAAAAAAATGTTTATGTGATTTTTTGCATAGTTTCCTCGTATACTTGTATTTGTCTTATGATGGTTCTTAATAGTTTTCACTATTTCACTTGGTACCTATTTACTACTTTATAAATATTTATAAAAACAAAAAAATATAAAAATTTTTACTTATAAAAACTGGACTACTATAAATTTTGACGGTTGAATAATTATAATATACGAAATACGAATACACTTCCTTTTTGATATATTGTCATTTGAAAAGTAGTCACAAGTGACGATTTTTAAAATATAAGCAACTATAATACTATATTTGTAGAATATATTTTTAATTTTTTTATGAGAATTACCAATTTTGTTGTTTTCTTATTATCACGATGTAACGAGTAACCACTAATAACCAATAAAAACCCACCGACCGACACTTGATGAAGTAGCTTTTACTTTTTAGGGAAACACTTGGCCACAAACATTCGTAGGTAGTTTTAGCGTTAAATTCAGTGCATTTTCTCTCTATAGACTACACGCAATGTTGATTGTTCTGAGGTACGATAGACGATAGTATATACTGAGTAGGTCTTAGTATCACCAAGACATTATTTTAGTTCATGATTGTCAATCGATTATTGTCGGACGGTCCGACTCGGACCATGTCGCAACTTTGTCGGACCATATCACACCATTGTCACACCATTGCACCAATGTGCACATCAAAAAGTTTTTGAAATGAAACACAATTAATTTTTTTTTAATGTACTGRCTCAAATTCTGATTCAAAACACTTATGTGGTGTTTATAGGTGCTTAAATTTTATTTTTGGCAGGCCAAAGAAAGTATTAAAAAAAAATTGGTGCGAATGCTCACTCAGCATCTCTCTCAAAATGATGCCTCTGTACTATCTAGTACTACTGTATACAATATAGTGATAATATAAATTATAGGCACTGGTATAATATTATAGTGATATACTGTTTTATGCAATATAGGTATGAAATAAATTATAATGGTGTATTATGGACTTCCTATGGTATATTTGTATAATATTTGAATAGTTATATTACTATAATGATGTATGCGGTATGCATAATACATACGTAAGGCAATAATGTAGTTTTATATTAAACTTACTTTTTTCGTTCTCTTCACGGCAACAACAAGCACAGGAAATTACAAGAACTGAACAGATTAATACAATTAATAAACTCACAAACCAATATACTGTTGGTGAAATTTCTTTCTGTAAACACATATAGATATTATATAGTATAGCATCATATATATATATATATATATATATATATATTGTATTAATATTTAATACGAATGCACCACCTTAGATAATCTAAAAATCTAAAATCTAAATACAAATATTTCTAGCCTGTAGTGCGTACGCAAGTTAATGAAAAAATTAATTTGTGTTAATATTGAATTAAGTCGACGTTAAAAACATCTTAACAGTGGTTGTGCAACTTTCAAATATTTTAAATAATAACTAAGCATTTTGTTAAAAAAGCCATTTTTTCAATATCTATATTTAAATATATATTACCTATATTTCTATATTTATTAATACCTACCATGTGACAGCCATTGGAAAACATATTTCGACACCTGACACATTTCTCCGATCCAGCAACTGGCTGATGGAAACCCTTGAGGCATTTCAAACATTCAATTGATTTATCCGGACTGTAATGGTGTGGTGGACAAGCAGCRCAGAACACCTCCCGAATACCGAAACCTGGTGCACAGGTAACGAAATTTTTTATGTGCATTCGGCTGTAGTCTGGTTCAAAATGTGTGTCGATCAACGACAACTTGGACATTACTGAAAATCAGAAAATATGTGAGWGCAYAAAACAAGTGAATAGATAAAATTAAAAGTGTATAAAAGATAAACACAGCACTTAGGTCTTAAGACTTCAAAATATTATGTGTCATTTTTCTATATCGAGTTATTCATTTAACATAGCACTAATGTTTTAATAACTTGCATCGTTTTAAAAATATTTTTCTTAGATAATTTGAGTTGCTAAAAAATTATATCTTTAATAGTTATCATTTTATAGTTTTTACACTTCTAACAACATACATTTTAAATTCTCTATTCCAAAGCAGAAAATGTTTGGATTACTTGGTACCTACATGAAAAACGTATTTTGAAGAGCATAATTGGTGACTAATGAGTAGGGCTGGGATTTTAATGCCCTCAAAAACCACGAAAAATGTCCTAAAAAAAATGCTTTTATGACCTAAAAACTCAAAATAATGCCCTAAAAACCCCGAAAAATGCCCTAAAAAAGGGCAATAAATCTACAAATTTTTTAATTTTTAATAATTTTAGTATAAATTACAATAAAAAGTTACTCAAACCTTTTCCGATAATATAATACGAATTAGGAGTACCTACTTATAATCTGTTATATTTATTTAAAAACCATGTTGGTGTAAAAATCTTAAAATCTTAAAATAAAATTTCAAATTCATACACTTGGTTTCCAAAAACTCAAAAAATACTCCAAAAACTCTAAAATGCCCTAAAAAATTAAGAAAATGACCTAAAAACTAAAAAATGCCAAAAAATGCAAAAAAATGCAAAATAAACTTTCTTATTCTCATTCAAATGTACATAAAATAAATTTGTGACAAGACGAGCATTGCACAGTAAGCTTTGAAAAACAATGCAAAGTGCATCGAAATCCCACCCCTACTAATGAGTAATAAGTATTTAAAGGTTTGGTGAGCAGAACACAGTTGTACAGGAACAGGGGTGTTCAACCGTTCACTATTCCGCTCATGTGAACCTCTAACACTTAAATTAATAAACAATTTGTCTCAATTGATTTTTATAGATCTAAATAGGTGGGTAGGTACTCCAAATATTAGTCCACTTGTGCCCGTGTTCGTGTAGATGTGTGCGAAAGTGCATATTTACTTTGAACTGTCAACGTTTTGTTAAGGTTTGAAGCTAAGACTGTAGATATTCTCGCCAATAGCTTTTGATAGCGCAGAGCAATTCGGCCTTTTTTGCTAGTTTTGATTCGAGTCAAATAATTGGCTTTGTCGTTTAACGTTACCAAATATTTTATTTCCATTGTTCTCTATTTTTAAATTACAAAACTTATTTAATACACATAAAGTATAATATTATATTTAATRAAATGTTTGTATATTTTATGGGCGTCGTTCATTACCGTACAAATATGCACAATTCAAACATGACAAAACCACACACACTATTTTAAAATACTGGATATCTCATTACAGTACATAAATTTAGATGTAAATTATTAACATGGCAAACTAATAAAACCATTACTCGGAATTTGGACATCACTCGAAAAATTTTTTAAAACTATTAGACTCCTTCAGTTGTAAATATATAATTGAGAAGTCTTTCGATAGTAGACATTAGTGCGAACCAATTGGTTTTACTGCCTAGTACCTACTCAATCTCAAACACCTCATAAGATTTTTATTTTTATTTTCGTTAACTCTTGATATACTTTCTAAAAATGGGACATTTTAGTGTCCCGAAGATTCCTCAAGAGACAACGGGACAGAGTTGTGAAAAGCGGGATTGTCTCGTACAAAAYGCTAAGTATGATCTGCATCCTATATAGATGCTATTCTGCACATTTTTTAATTTTTTTTAATTTGGATTGTGTATTTTGCTTTGATGAAATTTTAATTTAATTGTTTTTAAACATTTTAAACATTTTAGATTTTAAGCGGAGTGATAAATGTATTTGTATTTCAATTTGTATTGGTTTTAATATAAATTCGTGCGGCATTGTGTAATGTATTTTGTACGGTGAGGGGTTATGTTCCTGCTGTAATATCATATTTTAGTAGAGCATCTAGATTCTAGATTGTGGGAGAGAAGGTGTTCTAAGTATTGTGAAATTGAAATATGAAAACTTTCAGGACCTTTTAAGCTCTATGGAGTTGTGAAAAAAATTATTACACCTAATCATCAACTTCTCAGCATTTCTTGGAAATTTCTCGATACATCCCTGCACTATATATTACAATTATTATAATTTAATGTATTTATAGTAATCATAATACGTACATAATAGTGATTCTTTCATTTTTGCATGCATATTTCCAATTCGGAAGGATATGAATAAACTCTATATTTACTATTAGGTAATTATTATCTTATATGTATTATAAACTATAATCCTACAGTTATATGACAAATAAAATCATATCGATAATCGGAAATATAAAAAGTGATGATGAATTAAAAATAAAATAAATATTATTATTTATATTATTCCTTAGATACTATAAAAATGATGTTTACATGATTATTGGATTGAAAGCATAAGGTACAATATCTCCCTCTCAGTCACGTACACTAGCGCATTTAACCCTCCCAGACACAGAAATATGTATGGTGGACGCACCCGCGACGACCCTGGTATATTGACATATAATAAATTAATAAAATACAATGCATTRCGTACTTTGTCTTCGGAACACTTTGATTGTTCAAGAATAATGTTGCATGCGTACAGCGATGATCCCTCGGGACATAATTCAGCACGCATAGAATTGGGCAACTGGTTTTGCACAGAAGAGATTATTTCGTGCGTACAACCGCCACCGCTGCGGGTCTTGTAAACCGCTATGCCACGAATCTCGTAAATAGTTTTTTCGACGGCTTTACAAATTTGCATAGGTATTATATTATTATATTACATTATATTATTATATTATTATATTATATTATATTATTAGGCACTGATGATGAGAAATGTTTTTATATCACCCTCGAATTACGAACATATTATATAAATTAGGCATTACTCATTACTCATTAGTAATAAGTTGGGATAGGATTTGAAGGCAAAAGCTTTTTTTCGATAATAGTAAAAGAAAAAAAAGTATACAAAAATGTGTTTCATTTAATACCTAAGATATTGAATGTATTTTTTCGCMTTTATTAGTTATGAATGCTCTTTTGCTTTTTTTATGTTTAATTTTTAATTTTTCTGATATGATATACGACAAATTACGCTTACGCGTACCTACCTATTAAAGTATTAACTATATAAATCGATAAGAGCTTGTGAAACGGTGCATCAAAAATGTTATGCTAAAAACTATTTTATGTACAAAAATATTTTAAGTTCAAACCGTCAAAGTTTTTCAGAAGAAAAGTTGTGTAAATATATGGTAGTTCATTTTTGTAAACTAATAAAATTTGACACAAACCTATTACATTGTTTAGTTGCTTTTTTATATAAATAAAATGATTTTGTTGTCTTTTTCACATTTAAATGGTTTTTTATTGCTTATATTCAATATTGTCTTCAAATTCAAGGTGAGCTCGGCGAGCTCTAGTAGGTAATGATTAATTAGTAATTACTAATTACTAATTATTCATGAGTCATGACTAATATTACCTACTTACCTACTTTTTCTATTAGAAATTAAAATTCTTATGACAGTTCTTTACTTTTTCACTGTTGTTATGGCAGTGACACACAGAATATTTTTCTCAAGGATATCGAAAATAATAATCTCTAACCCGCCCACACCACCAATCAAATCCTAGTTTAGGAATAGTAATTAATGGGTACTAATTACTAATTAATAACACTTGAACCCCTGGTGTGCGCCACGTTAATATTGTGTTAGGTACCTATACTTATACCGTTATACCTGTGTACACTGTGTACAGTGTACCTAGGTACTATATAGGTACATTTAATATTCAGGGTGTAACAGAAAGATCTGACAGATGTAAATAACTAATTATGTATGTAATTACTTGTATCGATTATTTCTGTTATACAGTGTTCACATATCACATTATTTATATAACTAAAACTAGTAACATATAAAAATATATTTTAGAAATCATAAAATTGTTTTTTGAGTAGATATTATTAAATATTCATGCATTCTGTTAATGTGGATAAGAGCTTTCGTTTAATAATAATAATAATAATAATCATTATTATAACCGCCATCATAATAATATTTAATAATGTGATGTATTCTGTACCTACAACGTAATGCTTGTACGAAGTGCCATTTCTAGAATCTCCGATCACATCCGTTGTTGGTATGCAAGTGTAATTATTGCTATCTCCGGGTTCTAAGCCCAATATCAGTAGGATATTCGTATCTGTGCCGGTTATCGTAGAATCTGAAATTGAAAACTCAAGACGTCTTAGTCCAGTGCTTAAATGGAGGAGTGTGGACGAAACTCCTACACTATTTCAATTTTTTTTTTATAGGGGATAACCTTGAGTTGGGTCCCAAATTTCATCAAGTACAAAAGTTGGGTTCCGATATATTTTATCAAGTAGGTACATGAGTTGGGTCCAGCCTATTAGCGTTACTCAGAAAACACCACGTGAAGGTTGGCTAGAAAGTCTTCCAAACAGTTTATTTTTTGTTACCTTTTTGTAAGTATAAAATTATTACACACTAATTTATTCGACGACAATTATTGTCCGGTTAAACGTCGTCGAATAAGATAGTCGTTAATTAAGATAATAATAAGATAAAATATTAATGTGAACTCAACTCGTATTTATTTTAACCCAACTCAAGTTTTCCCCAATCAACTAGGTATTGTATTACGTTAACAATAGACTTAGCCACATAGGTACGCATAATTAAGAACTGGTAAAATTAGGTGAATAAAATATAAATATATATTCATTTGTATGTTACATAGTTAAATATATTATTTTTAGAATATAATAAATCTAAAATAGTAAAATGCTATTATTAAGATGAAATATATAAGGCAACATTTAGAAATGGAGGGGAGTGTGGGTGTGTGTAAATTAATTTTGCACTTGAAACGCAGTTTTAAATTGTTAGATTGAGCTCCCCTATACGACTATACTTAATAACTCCCTATTTGAGCATTGTATACCGGTATACGACTATACGAAACAATTTTTTAACCTACCCGGCTATCTAAATAGTGCTGTACAGTTCTATATATATTTACTTGTTTTATGTTTGCCCTTTTTAAAGTCCCATTTGAATGCATTCATTCTTGTTCCGTTGCCGTTAATCAAACATTGAACTTTGGCATCGTTCCCGACAAGGCTATATTGCACTTCGTAGTGATCTAAACAATAGATGCTTGGTATAAATATGAAATAAATACGAGGAAAGCCATATAATTGGGTCAAAAAATTAAAACATTAGTTGTAAAACTGAAGGAATAARGATAAATTATGGTATTCCTGTTTAGGTTTAACTGTATGAATGTATGACTATAGGTATAAACAATAATTTAACATTGTTGATCACCATATTCAATCAAAGGTTCATAAAAGGAGGAGGGTCAGATACTCAGATACTCTTTTTGTTTGTTTTACTTTCATCTGTAGCATTTTCAGTATATTTTTATAAAATACTGCTTTCTGTGAGTTAGGTAATATAAAACACTGGTTTTATGAAATTTTAGTAGGAAAAATTATAATATGATGTTATACCTAGCTTTTAACATTAGGGGAATAGCGACCACCTAAGTGGAAATTCATGTACATATCTCCGATGCTAAAAATAAAAATATTTTACTATTTTTGGCATTTGAACTATGGCCTTCTTAGCTATTATACATAATACATATTATGTAAGTTTCAGTTTTTAGAGTTAATTGCATTTTTATTTTATTTTATTTTTTTTTTAAAAAGCAAATTACTGGAATTATTCAATAGCTACCATCCTCCCACCTATTCTTACTACCTTTTAAATAACATGGGTTGTTAAATGTATGTTTTTATTTATATACAGACTATAGATTAAATCGCGATAAATAGTATCGTGTTTGAAAAATTACTTATGGTTAATACATTATCCATAAAATATGGATAATGTTTATAGCTTATAAACTATGATTAATGAGACCAATTGTCTTWTAGTTATAATCGTTGGAAAAAATGTATAAGATCAATTTTTTTACCGCATACATGGCAAACAGAACGAAATTATGTGATAAAAAGTAAGTTCTAACTCCATCTTATCCTATTGCATGGCGTAAATAATATGTCTAATAACCTTCTTTTTTTTTTTTGGGGGGGGAGGGGTAAGATAAATCAATTTAAATATAAAGACGCGGTGGTATACCCCACAACCCACCATGAGTTAATTTTAGGTTTGGTGAGAATTTTTTTTTTGAGAGCGAGAGAGGATTTACCCTAGAAAAAAATTACGAATAGGTACATCATTGGACCTATACATACAATAAACACTTGGAATTTCGTACTACACAAAGTGTGTCGACACAATTTTAGTCCCTTCCCCCCTCTCCCCCACTCAGAGCTCGCGCGAGCCTGCACAATCACTGAAATACACACACACACACAGATTATGACGTATGTGATGGTTACCATTCGAGGACTTCTCCAGCCGATAGTTGACAACGTTATCGAAATCTATTTCTCTCCACACGGGGGCGGCTGCCACAGCCTTTTCATCGCTGACACCTTCTCGACCCCGGCCACGGACTTTACCACCGTTACGCTCGACCACCACATCAGCCGAGTCTTTGGTGGTAATAACGACAGCGGCATCGGTAGTGGCCGTCCCATCGCTGCCGGCCGCGGTTGTGAGGTAAATGACAAACGCCACCGGGACAGGCTTGAACGTCCGACACTGTAAAGCGGTCGTCTCGTCGTCGTCATCGCCTGCAGCCGCCCCCGCCTCGTCCAAACGTTGGCAGATCAGATCCAAAAAGTCGGTCATGTAACACACGCAAGCCCGCCCGGGGTTGGTCGACACGCACTCGTTTTCGCTGCCGAACAGAATTCGGGCGGACTTGGCAGTCGTCGCACCTCCGCCGCCGCCGTCGCTGGTGACGTTTTTCGCGTTGTCCGCAACGCCGCGGCCGCCGGCCACGTCTTTCGGACGGTGCGTGACGCGACGGCGCGCGGCGAGCTTTTTGTCGATGGCACCCGGACGGGGCTGTTTGAAAAAGCCGCCGGACAGCCGGTACCGCGACGGAGTGGGTTTCGGCACGGCACCAAGCGTGTGACTGACGGCTTGACTCCCGATGGATGAGGCAGTCATCATCCTGTTCACTTGTTGCTGAAAGTATTTCAAATCCGATCGATCGTTGGCCGCGCTGCCGAAGTCGGACAACGACTCATCTTGTCGGCAGACTGGATTCGTCGTCGCCGCCGACACCGTTCCTCGGTAAATCCACCACTGACCCGTCGTCACGATCAATACCGATATGTTCAACCAAAACATTTTGGATAAACGGATGCTGCGGTCGACTATCGTTTTATCCGACRAAAAATATCTATTTCATCGTATCCATAATAACCAAAACGGTTGTTATTTTATCAATATTATAGGTGGCTGTATAATTTACCACCGTCATCGTTTTACTGCAAATTCACCTATATAAGCTAGGCAGAGTCGTTTCTCTGGTGAAGGGGGAGCTGAGGAGGCTGTAGTCCTCTGTTCAGGAACTTTAAAATTGATTTCAGCGTTTTGTGAATAGGTATATAACGTATATCCACGACACGAATTTCTTTGACATTCATGTAATACAGTTTAAGTTGCYCCACCAAAATATTTTATTCATCATCAGTACCTACTCTGGGAGGCTTTACACAACTTGACATGATTTCAAATGTATTCTGATGAAAAAACTTCCTACTTCAATAAAAATTATTCATATTATGATTGAATATTATTCTATATTATAATGACTTTGAATTAATTTTTTTTTTTCAAAATAATACATGCGACATTGTGATTTAAGAGATAGATTACTACTGAATTTGAAAATTATAAAAAAAAAATTTYACTTAAATTGAGTAATGAATGAATCGATTTATAGATAAACATTGATTAATTTTATATGCATAATCAGTCTTTACCGTTTGGAGCAGTAAAAATGCTTCACTTATTATTCTGGATAAGGAGGTATAAGGAAATGAAAATTACTATCAGAATTTTAAGATCTACTAAAAAGAAAATCTGTCCTCATAATTGTTTTATATAATTCTTCAATTAATGCAATAAAATAAATGGTTTACGTTCTATCTTATACCAATCTCTAATCATTTTTTATTTTGCTTTCAATTGTTTTTAAAATATACTGCGTCTCCAGTTTAAAACAAAATACAATAAATATAAATTTAATATTATTTTTTTGCTTCATAAAATACATGAAGGTACYAACATATATGCTACCTATCGATATTAAATTTTGTTTATATATACTTTTGAAGCATCAGGAATCCTGATCGATCCTATTCAGGTAAGGAAAACCCTTGGTTTTTCAACATTAAAAYGGTCAATTATTGAATTTTGTATAAAACAAGGTCCATAAATGTTATATGAACCAACTTCCATACTAAAATTCCAAAACTGTTATCACTGTATTTTATTGTTATAAGCTGTGGTTACAAAGAATTTTAACAATTAATATTTTTTTTGTAGGTACAGAATAAAAATATTATGGCTTCAAAATTTATATTATTTTTGCATCAGAAAAACTGACAATTTGTTAATCCACTAGTAAAGGTGGTGTTCCCGGATCCCAGCATTCTGTTTCAAAAAAAAATAATAGAAATAGAATGGATATATGCTCAGAAAAAGGAGACTCAGCTCCATCCCACTCAAATCAAGGGCTGCTTGTATCTAAAACAATTATTCTATTTACTTGTCATTCTGACAATGGTTGTATAGTAGTACTGGTACTTTCAACCCTTGTACTTTGTATCTGCACACTGCACAGTGCACATACTATAGATGTGTGAGAAAATCTTTAATTGCTTATAAATTAACATTGCCATGTCAAATTCAGAGACCTCTTCACAGAAACTTAAAAACATAGACAATTTTTAATAGACATTTTAAATTTTTWGTTCAATTAAATTGGTTACCTATTTATAAAATTTTACRCTTTTGATTAGGTATTAGTTATACTTATTTTGTTGTTATTCATGATATTAACCACAGATTCTATTTCAGTATTACTTAAATTATCATTACAAATACAATATACACAATGGAATTTTGAAAGTATTTGGATTAACTTTAAGTTATTTAYAGAATAATCTTATTTGTGCTAAGGTATGCAAGTTATTCACTTATTAGTCAATATTACAGCAATAAGTAATATTACAGCAATAATTTYTAAAATTATTACTAAATGATATAAAAATAAATTACTTATTGTAAAATAAAAAATGTATAAAATATCTTAAGGAATAAATGYTGATAAAAAGTTTCCACTCAGAATGGTTTTTAATGTTTTTATGTATTCATTAATTTCTTGATCATTAAAATTGAATATCATACATCCTTAATAGTGACCAACTCAATGAAGAGGCAGACTAAAACTGTACTATACAACAGCGTAACTCCTTCAGTTTAAATAAAGTATTGTGAATTTGTGTGCAGTAAATAGTTTTGATATGATCGAGTCTTGAGTGTACTGTATTCAAAAAAAGTTAAAACCATAGTCTAGCATCTAGCCATTGTATAAMATAAACCTTATGTTGAAAAGATATTGTGTGGATCAAAGACCAATGATATAGGTTGATATCTATGGTGTSAATACTGTTTTTAAATGTCAAATAAAAAATGAAAATACATTGAATTTTAAATTTTATTTAATGTTTTTTCACTAAAAGCAAAACTAAAAAAATTAAAAGAGGATAGTAACAATTTACAAACATCATAAAAGCATAATAGCCACAATGCATGATAAAATAAACGCAAATGTAATATTTTTGTATTTATCTGTAGCAAATATTATACTCAAAGACAAACGCATTAATGCACAATAAGTAATAACCATAGTGATAACAATTCAAATTTGCATTTTAAAATATATTTGGAACATTACACCTAATAGAAAATTAAAAAATAAAATAAAATAAAGAATACTGTATATACTTACATAAATCAATATGATTCAAGTTATACTAAAAATAAGAATTGTAACGAATATAAGCATGAAAAAAAGTTAAGAATCAAAGTTCTTATAATATAAAAAAAAAAATTAATAATGTGACAAAAAGTTATAAACATTATAGAAATTGCATACTCAGATAAGTAATTGTGTTATATTAATACACAAAAAAGGCTTATTAATCATAAATATGAGTCAATAAAAATTATTTTTACTTAAGTGGCCAAAACATAGTTTAAAAAATTAAAAAATATTTCATCATATAATGATAAAAAATTATTTTTAAAAGTACTCACTCTTTCAAATAAAAATCAGTTAAAACTGATATTTTTTAAAATAACAAATTTAACAAATATCATAGAAACTACATTTTTACCAGTTAAATAAACAAATAAACATAACTAATATGTATCCGAGAAAGGTGAATGATTAACTAAGCCTAGTTATAGGATTATTATTGTAATGATTTTGCTGAATAGAAAATCCATTTACAGGACCTTGTTGTGTTGGCTCTGTTTGCTGATTTGTTTGTATATTAAGATTAACCAAGGAACTGATGGCATTCAATGCAGCCTAAAGAACATGAAACAAAATCATAAACTAATAATAAAGTAATTTTTTTGTCAAAATCAAATTTTTGGGTATTAAAATAATTAATAGGAATATTTTTGTTCATAATTTACTATTTAGTTTCTTGATAAAACTATTTGTTATATATATTAAGTATAACAATATATACTCACAGCGTTACGAGAATTTTCCAAAGTAGAACCAGATCCTTGGCAGATCTGCGGGGGCATCGTCGAAAGGGATACTAATGTCAGGTAATCTTTGTGGTTCCCCTAAAATGATATTGGTATTATAAGAATAGAAATAAAATATTAACTATTTTAATAAGTTACAAGAAAATAGATTCAATATCACAAACACATAAAATAGACATAATTTATTACTGCAATAGCCTGTAGCATTAATGTACACTTTTATAGATCCAATGAATTAGTAGTTTATAAAATGTTAATAAATTAATATTTTCAAAAGTACTAGGTAATGACATAACACAAGTAGAAATGTTAACCATTCCAAAGTTGATATTTTAAGATAAAAATYAATTCACTCATTAATTATACAAATGCAACCTATAATACATGGTATTATTATATATTTATGTCAATATACGAAGCGTGTATTTAAAGTAAGGTCTCCATTTATTTTTTCGCGTTAAATATTTACAAAGTTTAATACATTGCTGTAAAGCTTGAAATCTAAGCTATTTTACTATGTAATCGTCATTCACTTCAATGAGCTTCCTCATTCATACTAAAAAATGTTGTATCCCTTCCTCAAACCATGATCTCTTGCTTCACACCRGAACGAAATGACCACTTCATGAACCTCTTCATCATTTCGACGGCTGCTTCATCTCCAGTGTGTAATAATGAGCCCATGTTTCATTTCTTGTGACAACAGAATCAAGAAACTCTTCCCCTTCCTCTTAAAAACTGGTGAGAAAGTTTTGGGCATATAGGACACTTTCACTTTGTACTCTGGGTTAAGCATTTTCGGGACCCACCTAGCTGACAATTTTTGGTATTGCAGATTATTCACCAAAATTGAATGAATAGTCTCTACTAGACACTTCTTGAAGTTTTTTAGCCAATTTATTGAGAGTCAACCTGTGATCTTCCAGCACAAGCTCCTCAACTTTCCGCACTGTTTTGTCTGAATATGACGGCCCTCCACTGCGYTCCTCGTCGTGGAGTATACTGCCAGCATAAAATTCTCTACACCATTTTCAAACGTTTTTCACATCCATACATTTCTCACCATACACTTCTTCCAATTAACAATGAATTTCTATAGATGGAATTTCTTTGATTTAATGACTGAACGTAACTCGCAACTGGCGAGAGCGACAAYCAGAACCTCCATCGCAAACTGGCTGCTAGGTCGAGACTGAGAGTTCCAATGAGCTCTGCCAGGTGTCGATTGGTGGAGGGGGACTACACGTATACAACAGTGTTGCTGGATTTTATCTATCGCTACTTACAGCGATATGGTGGCCTTGGAGACTTTACTTTAAATACATGCCTCGTACCATTAACTAAATTTTCTATGTTGCCATAAGACTTATTATTGAAGCTAAGTAGATAAATAAAAAGTATATATTTGTCAAGTTTCTAGTCGACTTATTTACATTTTAAATGATTCTAAAAATGTATATGTTCAATATTGGATAGGATATTAATTATCATTCACATTTATTTTAGATTCAAAACAAATTATAGAATGTATTGGTTTATTTAACAATGATAGT